AATTAGAAAGGGTAAAGAATAAGATTAAGTGGGTGGTGATAGAAAGGAAGAGGTTGCAATAAAGGAGCAGAAGTGTCAGAATGCAAGCCTGATAGTGGAACTGCTTGGAGTGACATTAGAACACAAGTCACCCAAAGGGCATTGCTAAAATAAAGTGGAGATGGGATTTTGTGCAGTTACAGATTGAAGACTCTGATCACTGTGCTAACATTGTGAGCAATGTGAAATCATATACATGGACCTTAGTCAAGAAATTTGCAGCCTAGTAAGAAAGAACGGTATGTAGCAAATAACCAAATAGGTTGAATATCAGGAAGGACAATTACTGCAATCTAGAAACTGGGAAGTCTAGGAGCATTCAAGTGGGAGAGACTCATTACAAACACAAGAGCTATAAACACCATCAAGGACACCAGGTGAGGTGGTGCTTGCCTGTAATCATACGTACTGGGGAGGCTGGGGTAGGAGGATTGCCAAGTTTAAGGCCAAACCTGGCAACATGGTGAGATTCTGACTCAATTAAAAAAAAAAAAAAATTAAAAGGGCTGAAATGTTCGTCAGTGGTAGTGGGCAGTAATAGCATATGCAAAGCCCTGGGTTCAATCCCCCCAAACATCCCAAAGAAAAAGTCACACACACACACACACACACACACACACGCACACCTACACATACACACATAGTTTGCATCTTGGCTAAACACACACACACACACACACACACATATACACACACACATAAGTTGCATCTTGGCTAAACTCTTAAAAGTTGAATTGGATTTTGACTGGTAGATATAATACAATTCACATTTTTATGAATTATCAGGTTTGCCAGCTGCAGTGGTGCACACCTGTGATCCCAGAGGCTCTGGAGGCTGAGGTAGAAGGATGGAGAGTTCAAAGACAGCCTTAGGCTGGGGCTATGATTCAGTGGTCACATGCCCCCAAGTTCAATCCCTAGTACCCCACCCCTCCCCCCCAAAAAAAAGATTATCAGGTTTTAAGAAGCCTAGTCCAAAGTATTCAAAATACAAGAGTTAAAAAAACAGGACACGGGTTGCCTTTTTATTTTATACCTAGAGAATCTATGGGTCTGAGAGAGAATTGACTAGCAGTGACCTTACAGATAATCAGTGGAGTTGGAAATAAAGGTATTTCAAAAGGAATACTGTGGGAAACTATACAGTTGCAGAAGAGGGCTGAGCGTATTGAGGGAATGGTAACTTAACTAGTTTCAAATCATGAAAGGGATTGGTGGATTTAAGGTTTGGAAAATAGGTAAGAAAACTAGTTTGGAAGGAATGTTTATGGAGTTCGTTAAGCAGCTTTATATTTGATCCTGAATATAAAATAAATGCTGAGACAGTGAAGCAAGGTAGCCTACACATGGCAGAAAAGACTCTGGACCTGCTGCATGTGAATGGAACTCAGTAAGAATAGAAGACACTGCTGATATCACTAACTGGAGAATTATATATATTTTTTTCTCTCTTTCCTTCAACATACCCCCCCCAACTAAATAATTATAAAACCAGGAAAATGACATAATTGGAGTACATTTGAGTCAGTCCTCTCTCTGACATGCACAGAGCCATTCTCTTGAGAGAGATTTTTATCATTGTTCATTGGTGCATATTGCAAGAATACCCTTCTCATTTGTCTTTTGACCTTCCTTCTCTTTTCGTTTCCACTTTCTTAAGGACACCAAGAAACCTTTCTAAAGAAGTGAACTTTTCAGTCCAATGCTTAACCATTAGCACTAGCTCTCCCCCACTTTCAGGGGGTGGTAGAAATGTCCTAGCATAATTTTGAAAGCTCCTGCTGGGTAGGTCTTACTTTATCACCAACATTACATACACATTGCGATATGTTAAGTAATCTGTAATTCTCACTGTTTTTCAGGCCTCTGATATTTGTCTTTGGATTAATTATCTCCTGTTTACAGTTTATTATTTCCTTTGCCTACCCCAATCCAGCTGTTTCACAGCTTAGGTTTAAAACCCTGGAGGAATTCTGACTCTGCCTTATCCTTTATAATCCATTAAAAAATTATTGAATCAACTAATTTCCAACATCCTTAAAAATCCCTTGGACTAATTGTTTCATTTTTAGTCTAATATGTTATTTTCAATTTCATATTTTATCAGTTCACACAGTTTCCTCACTTGCCTAACAGGACCACTACACAACACCAATCCAACTCTCCATGCAAAATTCAGACATGTCCCTTGTGCGTTGTATACCTCTCTGCAGGATGCTTGAAGCCCTCCTCACTCTGAGCCAAATTTCCTGCATTAATCTCCCAGGATGCCCACTCAAGGATGTGGCCAACCAGCCTTGCCAAATGATATATTTTTGTCCCTGAAACTCTTGTTCCTCATGTACAAAAGCCCTTCTCTCTGCCATTTCCTCTCCTATTTACCACCCCCTTAAAATTAATATCTTCCTACATATGCCTTCCTGTGGTATAAAATCAAGAATGAATCAAAACATGAATTAATTGCATTAATTAGAAACGTTTGCATATTCATGTATATGCATATGTTAGATTGAAATATACTTACAAATTCTTATTGGAAGCAGTGCATTTTTCATACAAGGAAGACTAAATTTGTATTATTAAAAAATAAAACTATTTTGAAATTCAGCAATATTGGAGAATAGTTTTTAATGCCAGAGAAATGATAAAAAATCATTAGAATCCTTAAAAATGGAGAGTAGAAAAATCGATCTGAACTCAAGACTTCAGATTACTCACCTCTTTAGTTAAGCAACATTTTATTGGCATACATGCATTAAACTAAGAATCATAATTTGCTCTGGGTATACTCAAGTCTATGGTTACCATTTCTAAATTTTAATGTGTCAGAATATTAATGAGTAATGAAGTCTATTGATTTCAAAAAGTGTATTATTAAATAAGATAATGCATAAAAGACTGACTCTTATTGTTTATATCATGTCAAAGAATTATATTTTCTAAAGGCTGCAAATGAAAACAAAAGTACTTCAGTTATTACTAAGAGTTTAATGAAATAATGTCTATATGGTGTCATTCTCACGAAGTTCGCCATGTTAATGGAGCATTCAAAGGGACATTATTCATAGAACTTCGTGATTTTTGAAATAGGTGGACCCTACCAATTACTCAGCAAATGTGGGTTAAATTTGTAAGGTATATCACTCTCATTTATATTTTGGGGAAACTGATGCCCAACTAAGTGGACTAATTTGCCAACACTCTTCTTTATTCAGTGGTAGACAGAAGCATAACCCAAATATCTATAATCTTTATGATCAGACTTTTTTTAAGAGATGATACTTAATCAAAGAATCTGTACAAGTGCTTTGTGAAAGGGTTAGTTTCCATTTATTTATAAGAGTTGACATAAGATGTAAAGATGGTTTTATGTCAACATGTAGGTCTTGGTTCATAAAAAGCTAGTTTTTCAGAATTATTCTACCTAGGAATTGTGTCACATATATGATTTGATATGAGTGTGTTCACTTTAATCAGTTAAAAATATCTAGCTGTCATGATTCATTTATAGAAGAGAGGACGAATACTTTTAAGGCATGCTTTGATTTACAGCACATGAAGCAATGGTTATGCTAATTAGTAGAAAGAAATGCGTATTACTAAACCCAAATTAGTTCTCATTTCCCTTGGCTGGTTGAGCTTCTGTCTGGATATTGTAAATGTCTTACTCACTGTTGAACATTAGAATTAAAGCTAAAAATGTACATGTGCATTTTTAATATTCTTTTCTTGCTGTGCATTTTTTTTTTCCTTGCCACAAATTCAAAAGAACCTTCTTTCAAAGAGATAGATAACAATTGTATTCCTACAGGGATTTTGTATTTTTAAAAGAAAAAAAAAATAGATATTTGAACATGTCCCTGTTTTCAGTAAAAAATGCTGTGTCAAGGATATGAGAACTACTTTCTCTAAAAATATTAATAATTTGAATGCAGTGTACTTTGGATGCTGAAGGCTTAATTCTGTGTTCAGTTATAAGATGGGAAACATTCTAAAAAGAAAAGGGAAGAACGTGAATTAATTGTGAGCCAGATCTATGTTCTCTGGCTTTTCCTTTGAGGTAGTAAATAATGTTAATACCCACAAATGCTCGATAGCAAAACACAGAAGGGCAAGGGATATATAATTTTGGAGAAAATATATAATTTATTTTAATTTACATATCATTTCATAGGCTGAGATGCAAAGGTTTCTTATTGCTTCACAATCTGCTAGTATTTAAATATAGTTTGTGCATTTCCTAACGTGTATTGTGTTACACAACAGGGTGATTCTGAAAGCTGAGGTATTTGACTAGCTTTCATTCATTCCAGGATTCTACCTCTTCCTGTCTGTTAAGTTTATGTCTAAGCATTGGGAGAACATGATGTGGGACCAAAAAAAAAAAAAAAAAAAGAGGAAATCATTCAGTATTGAAGTTATTGAAGTTTTAGGGAGAAACTTTAAGTTCTATAGTACGTTGTAAGCAATTTTCAGGAAGGCATCATTGACTTTCCTTTACCAACAACAAACATCAATAAAAGACCATACAGATAGTAAGATAAGTCATTGCATTTTATGAAAAAAAGTTTGGTGTTACAGAAATTCTCAACATTGACACAAATTAAGAATGTGAGCATTTAGAACCAGAAAGGAGATGTGACCTTGAGTTCCCACCCATGTTTGAGAAGATGGATAAACAGAGATTGAGTGTGAAGAACTAATGATTAAGTTCTGCAGCTTAGATTATCCAAGTGATTTTTATGTCATGTGTGATATTTGTTTGAGTTGTGCTCCATTTGTAAGTCAGAAAACACACCAAAAAATGTCAAGAGGAGATGACAGAAGCTAAAATAATAAAGAGAGTGTTTGTAATTTTATTGCAAACACAGAAAAAAATGCTTTTGAAATTTTTTAGATTCTTTTGTATTTACACGTTATGTTTTTGCTTCTTGATCTGATATGTTCTAACATATCTGCAGGCAGAATGCCTTTCAAGTCATTGCTGTGGACGGGGTATGCAGTGGAATTATTCAGTGCCTCTCAGCCGAGGAATCTGTTGACTGGCTACAAGCAATAGCAACGAATATTTCAAACCTCACAAAGCACAATGTAAGTAAGTAGTGATCCAAGGGATATTGATCAGAGAGTTTCTCAGCCTTCATGAAATTCTTCAATATATATTTGACTTTGCATCAGCTGTTCGGTATCTTTCCAAGAATGAGCCACTTCATATTCAGCATGAAAACTCTTCTGAGACACTTATTAGAAGAAAGTCACTTTACCCTGAAAGTCCCAGTACAATTTGTCAATTCAAGAATGGTCAGGCATGTAGGGTTCCGTAGCAAATGTCAAAGGGACCTGTTTTCATTCAGTAAACAAAAAATTGTATTTTGCATTAAAAGTTAAATATGTTAAAAATAAGTAAAAGCTTTCTGGGCTAATATGCTACTGAATTTCAACAAAGACTATTAATTTACTTTCAGTGATCTTGGGACTGTGGCTAAGAATTTTTAAAGGAATAGGATAATATAGTGAGAAGAGCTACCACGGAGACTGAAGTCTTGTGTGGAACTCTTCTGGCCCAAGAATAATAAGAAAACATCATTGTGGGATCTAGAAACTTGCTCATTAGAGCCAGGTCTAGATTGATAGGAATTAGCTTCTCTTCATTTCATGTATCTTTCTACTTCAAACATTTCCTTTCTTCCCATTCTGTGTCTGTTTATTGTCACCATCTTATTATCATTACTCTTTAATAATCTAATCAATTCTCTCTTGCTATCTTGCTCTCATTCCCAGGAGCTGTGTAGTCTAACAAACTAAACAAAACCATAAACCTCTCTTCCTTGAATACTGATGTATTATAATTACAGATATTTGTTTTCGAAAATCAAGTACTTGACATCATCATGCTCTTGTCTTACTTTTCTCCTTTGTCCAAAACTTCTCCCATGCCATATTGGAGCAATTAAGATTTCCTAAGGAAAATTCAGAACTCTAATATATAAATGGTTAAGCAGAAATATGTACCTCTACTAACTCATGGATCACACAAAGATTTTCTTATAAAAGTGATCTTCTGTACCCGAGTAACTGTACAGATTTTTACTTAAATAAGAAAGTATTGTGATAAATAAGTCTTTCTTAAAAATAAGAGGACCAGCACAGTCATTAAAGCCAATGCTCTTGTTTTTAGTTGTGATTATTTCAAGCGATTCCATCACAATGTCCATACATGTGGTGGTGGGATGCGCTGTGAGTGGAATTGATAGCCACTGCATGTGTACATGTACAATTTTTCTAGGTAATGCCAAGTGTTTTTCAAATGACTAAACGATTTACCTTCTTAGTCTCAGTGGGTGACTTATCTTTATAGATCCTTCTCAATCCTTGGTATCTTATTGCCTTTATATATTTTTTTTGGTAGATGTGAAATTGTGTCTCACTATGCCATGAATAAAGATAAATGGATTTTTTGGGGGGTGGCTAAATAGGTAAAAATACTCTGAGCCCTCCTCAGAGGTATGAACCCAGGATAAGGGCTGACTTGGGCATGTCTGAGTTGGGTAAGACTGATGCCTACCAGCTGGGCACAGTGGCACATGCCTGTAATCCCAGCAGCTTGGGAGGCTGAGACAGGAGAGTTGTGAGTTCACAGCCAGGCTCAGTGAGGACCTAGGCAACTCAGAGAGACCCTGTCTCTAAATAATATTTTAAAAAGTAAAAAACAGGCTGGGGAAGTGGTGACTCAGTGACAAAGTACCCCTGAGTTTAATTCCTGGAACAACAATAAAAAAAAAAAAAAGGAAAAAAACTGATGCTCACCTTCCAGCCCAGTCTTTGGTAATCTGACGATGTCATCATAACTATAGTTAAGGTACCGATCAGAAAAAGGAAGGCAGGCAGGCAGGCAGGCAGACTAGAAACGCAATGTCTCTCTGAGGATTGTGTTTTTCTTCCCTTTGTATCATGTGGATGTTTCTAGGGATAAAGGCAAGCAAAACTACCTTGGGTGAGTATTAATTCTCTATTTCATTGCAGGAGTATTTAGAATGTCTTAAAATTAAGCCATGTCCTATAAAGTATATGAGGAAAAGTACTTTAAAAAGAACAGAATGTTAAGCAGTAAATCGAAAGCTTTACTTTTTTACTAGATCCAATTTTTCATTAGTCTAAAATCCTAGGAAAGCTTCATGAAAACAACTTCTTTGGAAGGTATGTTCACTCAGAATGATGCGATCCAACTGACAAGCATTTGAAATAGCTTTCTTGAAATTTAAAAAAAAAAAAGAGCAAAGATGTAAATGTCATTAAGCTCTATAAGCCTAAGGAAGGATAAGCCTAATTTTCTGTTTATTTTTCATCCTTACGACAAATACTTGCCATGAAATTTAGGAAAGCAGATAACACCCTTATTCAACACTGTTTTAAATGCTGGGAGATCCATATATTTCTTGTGATATTATTGCCATATTATAGGTTTTCTGTTCTTTCACCTGTCCTTGATTATATTGTAATAAATGTCCTTTTGTTCTTCTGATCAGTTTTCAGTAAAAATACTTTTGATCACAATGCACTCCTGTATGTGAAGTACAATATATGTGTTGAAAAGACATTGAACGTAGGGAAAGACAATGTGAAAATCACAATAGCTACAGAGAAGTCACAATAATGCCATGATGAAATATGATTGATATAGTTACATAATGTGAAGAAAGAAGTTGGATTAAGACTACTGTGGAAAGTTCTGATTAGAATAGACAGTTGACATCTCAAGTTCTCTTATTTTTTATATTAAGGAGATTCTAGAATTACTACTTAGAGGAACTAATTTTTTCTTTACTTGCCAATATTATGAATTGGTGAAGGCTTATATAATTTAGGCATAAATGGTGTATCTGTTATTAATAGGTGCAAAAAGAAAATATTGGGGTAAATGGGGGTAAATATCTGAGAAAGTCCACCAATGAGATTATCAGACATAGCAATAAATTTTAGAACGAGATAAAAATGCATATGAAATAATAAGTTTTAAAGTATTAGCAAACTACACTTCTGAAAAGATATAAAACATGCTTACAAGCTGGGCACAGTGACACATGACTATAATTCCAGCAACTTGGGAGGGCAGGGCAAGAGGGTCACAAGTTCAAGGCAAGCCTCAGCAATTTAGCAAGACCCTGTCTCAAAATAAAAAATAAAAAGGGCTGGAGATATAACTCAGTGATAGAGTGCCCCTGGATTAAATCCCCGGTGCCATCAGAATGGACAAATAAATAAACATGTGATGATTTGAAGAAAGAAATGTTGAAACCAAAACATTACAAAACCTTTTAATGATGAATTATATTTTAGTATAAAGACAGTTGGAGTACAGAGAAGAATAAAAGAAAGAAAAATAGAACCACAAACAGAAAACCCTATGTTAGAATGACTTTAACAACAGTCTAACCACTTGCTTTCTTTTTGTTCACTAATTTCCAGCAATGATATAACTTTGAAATGGGGATTTTATACTAAATTTATTTGAAAATTTAATGTAATTATAGCTTCTTTCTGAAGAAATTAGTTTTCTAGAAGGTCCTTGAATATAAAAAAAAATTTAGTAAAATATAATTGAAAATTGAATTTTATTATTAATCAGGGTGGCTCCTAAATATTCACAATATGTTTAGTAAACAGTATGTAGTATAAAAAGTTCCTTAGGGGACTTGTCTTTAAGCTGTGCTGCACAGATGCCAACATATTTTAAAAGCTTTTACATTAGAAAGGGAGGCTGTAATGTTGTGGAATACAACTAATTGTTTCCACCAGTTACCACTGGCATTTGCTATTACTTGGACTAAAGTAGACTCAAATCCATTTTTTTTTTTTTTGCTACTGAGGATTAAACCCAGGGATACTTAAACAGTGAGCCACATCCTCAGCCATTGTTTAAATATTTTTATTTAGAGACAGGGTCTCTCTGAGTTGCTTAGTGCCTGCTAAGTTGCAGAGGCTGGCTTTGAACTCTTAATCCTCTTGCCTCAGCCTCCCCAACCGCCACTACACTTGGCCTCAAATTGATTCTGAAGATAGAATTCATATCTCCTAGAGTACTTGCGGTCATGGTGGTGAATGATTATAATCCCAACTCCTCAGAAGACTAAGGCAGGATAATCGTAAGTTAGAGGCCAACATGGGCAATTTAGCAAGACCCTGTCTCAAAATTTTAAAGAGAGGCTGAGGTATAAATCAGTGGCAGAGTGCTTTTGTGAATTGTGGAATTGTGCTAGACCCTGGGTTATATCCCGCATATCAAAAAAAAAAAAAAAAAAAAAGAATGAAAGAACAGTACTTAAAACAATACCTCCTTGCTCCAAGTTAATTATTTTTTAAATTTTTTTTCTGCTATTCATTATTTAGCCAGATAGAAAGTTGTTAATTTTATTTCCAAAGTTATCTCATATTAAATAATTTTAAAATATGCCAATATTATAAGGGGGTTAACTTTCAGGAACCTTGGAAAGGAGTAAATCCATTTTGCATATTATAGGGAGTTGAAATATGGGGAAAGGAGGCAGTCTTTAACAGTCAGGCTGATAAGATGATCCTCGATGATGTTCACCTCCTGGTATCCCCACCCTTAAGCAATCCCCTTTCCTTAGATGTGAGATACATGGTAAGCCTGAAGGAAGATAACTCACGGGTCAGGGCTTTGGATGAAACCATGGCTTCAGTTGACCCTTGGTTACAGTCTTCTGAAATAGCCAGGGAAAGAAAACCCGTATCTGGACTCCTGAGCCACAGGAACTGTGGGATAATAAAAGATTTGCTAAGTCACTAAGTTTTGAAGAGTTATGTTACATAGCATTATAGAGTGGTATTTGTTTCCTTCAGCGGCTATAACAAATTACCTCAAACTTGGTGATTTGAAATATTAGAAACTCACCCTCAATTCTGAAATCAAGATGTCAGCCAACTACCTCACTTCTGGACACCCTAGTGGAGAATGCTTCTTGCTTCTGATGACTCTCAACACTTCTTGGCTCTTAGCCACACTATTTCAATTTTTGCTTCTGTGGTCACATTGCCTCCTCCTCTGGATGTCTCTTAGGTGGACAACTGTA